CCCCCCCGTCACCCACCTCACACCATCTGAATATGCAATGATTTCCCATGCATAAGGTTGCAACCAATAAATCCCCACGTCAGAGCAAAGTTTATTCATTCTATAGGTGAGAACCACATGAAGAACCCAACTGAGTTGCAATTTAAATGTGATTTATTTATTATTTTTTTTTCCACCCTTGAAAATAAACAGAACCCTGTGAAACACTGTTGTCCTCCCAGTGAGCTCTGCATGTGGGGACATGTGGGGATGGGAGGAAGATGTGGGGGCTCTGGGGACATGAGGGACGTGGCTGTGAGGGCTGAAGGGACCCACGGAAGCTGTGGGAACATCAGGGCTCTAGGGACACACAGGGACCTCTGGGGTTCATGGAGACCTGAGGACATCATGGGGACTTGCGTGGGCTACAGGGACATGTGGGGACCTGTGGAATCTGCAAGGACACTCGGTAGGCACAGGGGACCTGTGGCAACTACAGGGACTCACTGAATCATCCTGGTTGGAAAAGATCTTGAAGATCATCAAGTCTGATCCTAACCTAAATCCACTAACCATGTCCTGATCTACCTGTTCAGTGCTTACATCATGTCCCTAAGCACCACATCTATATTTCTTTTTGAACACTTCCAGGGATGGTGACCCCACCACCTCCCTGGGCTGCCTGTTCTAGTGTCCAACCACTCTTGTCAGGAAAGGGCCTGGTGGTGGTGACATCACCTCAGGCTGGGGGGGTTGTGGTGTGGTGACACATACTGGGCAGCTGGATGAGCAGAGCCTGCAAACTGGAAGCAGGTGCCTGTGGGATCCTGTGAGGGAGGTGTTTTCATCATACATGTTCAAAAACTCTTCACTGTTTGCTCTTGCAAATGTCTGTGATGTCCATTCTGAATAGGGAGGTGGCAGAGTTTAACAGCATGAGAAAGGAACACTCAGCCTAACTCTTCCTGCTTCTGCTGCTGAGAATGGTTGTGCTGGACCAAGGCAACTTCCTCCTGCTCTCAAGTGTGATTCCTGGAAGCCTTTCAGCTGTGAATGTAATAATTGTGTTTCCCAGAGCTTTCTCTGGGCAGTGATTCTCTGTGACATGCTGGTCTGCACCTGATCCTTGCCCTGTATCCCTTTTTTCTCCCTGATTTTGCCCTCACTACGTGATCCCCAAGTAGAAACCACAGAGGGATTTTTGGGAAGTAGAATAGAAGCATATTAACACTACCCAAACTAAGTGTTTGTGGGCAGTCAGTACAAGGCTGAAACTAGGGCAGTAGTTAGATGGGAAGAACGACTTGTACTCACGACTAGAACTTTAAACCACTGTGAACACTTCATGGAACCCAGGCAACCCAAGCTGAGCTCTCACTACAGCCCTTTGCCAGTTTGCAGGACATCTCATTAACCAGCCTTGACTCCCAAGAAATGGCTATAATTAAAGAATACACCTGAAATGATTGTGGTTTAGGTCATGATTGTTTTAATAGAAGAAAGCTGTGACATGGAACCTTCTCAGCACTGGCTGCCCTTCAGCACAGGGAGCTGATCTCTCTCTCACTACAGCCCACACTGCAGCAGGAAGTGGTGAGCAGCTTGGCAGCTTCACGTTTTTGTAGCATCCAAGCTTCCCTGGTGCCTGGTGGGTCTTGCTCTGTCTCAGGCTTCATCCTGTGGGTTCCTTGGCTGTTGGGCTCCAGCCCCTGCTCTGCGTCCATCGAGGGGTCGGCGTAACCGTTGCTCTCTTGTGAGAAAGGCAGGGGGTTGTCACTCTCTGTTGCACAAAAACAAGGAGTCATGGAATCATAAGTTGTTTATGATATTTATCTTAGGTGGAAAGGCAGGCCTGCCTGCAAGCAGGGAGCTGACAGCATTACCCTCCATGTTTCTGGAGGGAACAGCTGAGATGCACCAGATCACTGACTTCTTAGCAGGGCACTACTGGATCTGCAAGGTAGACACTCTGTGCTGAACACGTTAAAACCCCAGTCATCAATGGATTTATATTGAGAAGTGTTCTTTGTAGGCCTTATCAGTTTCTCACTGACATTTTTGCTTCCAAGGGTAAAGCCAGGACCTGATGTACCAGTGACACCCACCAGCCTGTTCACCTGGACCTGCAGGTACAACATGTTACAGCACCAGGTGATCCAAAGATCCTGGATGTTCCCACTTGAACTACAACTCATCTGCATTTTAAACACCACAGCAACGTTGCCTTGTGGAGTTTGTAGAGGTGTAAGCAGTTATCTCAGCTGGCTTAGTGGGGGGTTTCTTTGCCTCTAACAGACCCCTGGGCAGGGAGTCACAGGTGGCAACACTTTTTGTGTTGGATTCAAACTGCTGCAAGAGAATTGGCAAAAGCAGCAGATGTTACTGAAGGCCTCTCTGCTCCTGTCACCTGCCTGATCAGTTTCCAGGACTCATTTTAACCTCTCAAAGTGCAAAACTCCAGCACGGCATCTCGTGGCTGAACTTTTTCACTTTCTCTACAAACGGGTGGGTGTTTACCCAGCACCACGTGAAGATCCTTAAACTGCAGAGCACAAGGGACACACCCTAAGCTTCACTGGGATGTTCCCGGCGTTGCCACTCAGGTTTGTGGCTCCTAGTGGGGTGAGTCCTTGAAGACATTGCTAAAAGGAGTTGCACTGGCTGCAGCAGAGCTCGGCTGTGCTGTTTGGGACGTCGTGGCACAGCAGGGTGTCAGTGACAGCCTGGGCTGAACGCCTGTTCCTCGGGTGGCCTGGGAAAACCTTGGTCTGCGTGGTTTTAGGGTGCAGCAAATTGCAAGGAGACAAAACCCACAAAGTGCTGAGAGAGGAGCAGCCAGGGCCGGGGGTGCAGCAGGGGGTGCAGCAGGACCCGGGGGTGCAGCAGGAGATGGAGGTGCAACTGGGGGTGCAGCAGGAGATGGAGGTGCAGCAGGGGGTGCAGCAGGGGCCGGGG